ACCCAGAACCTACTCAGAACCTAGAGACAGAACCTAGAGACAGAACCTAGTGAGAGAACATGGCAAAAGATCCTGGACTGAACCTGACTACAGAAATTGGCAAGAGAACCTGACTAGAACCTGGTGACTGAACCTGGCTGGAGAACCTGGACAGAACCTGGCTGGAGAACCTAGCAAGAGAACATGGACACAGAACCTGACTGGAGATCCTAACCAGAACTTCGCTGGAGATCCTGAACAGAACTTGGCTGGAGATCCTGGCTAGAGATCCTGGCTAGGCTGCTGATCAACTGAACGCTGTCTCCATGTCATTCCTTCTTCGCTGACTCCGTCCACACCTTTGGGGACCCCTGGACCTGCTGGGGTTGGACCCCAGCATCTGGCGACCGAACAGGAACCCCTAGGTAAGCCCCACTCTCGGGATGGATAGGACTCCACCGTAGGAAGAGGGTGGATAGTCTTCGCCGACTCCGTCCACACCTTTGGGGACCCCTGGACCTGCTGGGGTTGGACCCCAGCAGGCTGATATTTAAAATATGAAAAAACTCAGCTCCACTAAGAGTGCACAGGCTGAGACTGGGCCCTCTCAGACCTTGGTCTGCATGTCGGATGCCCCGTGTCACCGTCAGACAGGGGGCACCCTGAGGGACAGTGGGAGTCCCTCTACAAGGACTCAGGGGAGGCCCTCGCTGTTAGCTCCCTTTGCAGAGGTTGCCTGTGCGTGGCTGCATTCTCTCACTGAACTAACTCTGTTAAACCACATATGTGACTTAAGGAGAGTCAAGGTTCCTGCAAAGAAGCCATTGATTCAGGAGAGCGCTAATAAAGCAGGCCCGCCTGCCCGGAGGGAGGATGGCAGTGAGGAAGGGAGTGCCGTGGGCCCTGACAGCGGACCTCACCTTGAGGCTGTAATAGGCCCTGGGATATGAACTAGGTGGGGCGTGAAGCCATTATGAGTAGCAAGACGTTTAAAAATCAAGCGAGTGATAAATGAGGAGAGGGTTTCTGTTGAGCAAACTCAAGACAATCGGTTTGTTTCTATAAAAACATTCTAGGGTAACATTGGAAAGTCTCTTTTTACATAGGACGGGGAAACATCATGTGAGTCACAGCAAAAATAAAAAGGCTGAGATAGTACCTGACAACAATGTGGGACAAGCGGAACTGTACTTTGTTGGGTAAGTGCTTTGGGAAAATGGCAGTCCCCGTCCATGGGGGATATGTGCCCCGCCCACGGTGGATGCCCGAGATGCGGGTAGTACTGAACCCTGTATACAATGATTTTCCTTACACAGACACACCTGTGCTAGAGCTTAATTCATAATGCAGGCCCCTCCTTCCCCCCTCCTCCCTCCCTCTTAAACCATCTATTGTCCCGCACTCGCCTTGTCATTTAAAGGAAGTGCTTTCTGGCTCCCCCCTGGCAGATCCCAAGTGCCAGCCTCCTGCCAGCCTCACTGCTCTTGTGCTTTGGGGACCGTACTGAGTATCAGGGAGCCTTGAGCACTAGCCCTGCGACACTATAGGCGGCTACGAAGTGGCGACTCAGAATGGTGCCAACGGGAGGCATGTGAATTGTTTATTTCTGGAATGTTTCCACTGGATATTTTCCGCGTGGTTAACGGGAGAAGTGAAACCTCGGAGAGTGGAGCCGTGGGTCCAGGGGGACCACTGTGGACAGGCAGACACTGGTGAAGATGTGAAGTGGTCCTGGAATGAATGAAGTACGCGGTGTAGGAGGGTCACTGCACAGGCGGAAACAGCCGGCTGTGTCCGCCATGCCCGGCCTGTGGTCACTGGCTACATCCTCTTTCAATAACAGCACACACAGACAGGCAGCCTTCTGCTTACTGCTGCTGAACATTAAAGGAAAGAGGAGTCAAGGAGGATAGTTCTCAACAGGAGGTGGCATTTTAAACAATGAAGGCGGGGTTTCATGGAGATTATTCTTAAATAGCAGTAACGAGGCAGGTACATTCACGGTGAGCCCACCGGCACCGAGACCGGACTGCTGCGCCCGTGTCCTATTACAGGAGCCAGCGCCTTAGAAATTGGCCAACTCCAGGCTACTGAGAAAGGCTCACAGAGAGAGCCTGGACTTGCTGCTGCATGGGAAAGCCTGGTTCATGTGGACCAAGTGGATTACTTTATATGTTTGACATTTTCTATCATGAAAAAGGTTTAAAATTTAAAAATACATGAGAAGCTGATTTTTACAAGTAGCGTGGCTATGAAAATAAATTTTGAAAATGGATATTTTCCAATGTTTCCATGTTACTTGGTTTTGTGAAGGAAGAAGGTTTATCCATTTTTTAAAATCTCATTAAAAAATTAAAAACAGAAACAGAATTTTCCAAACTTCAAATAAATGTTTCACTGACTTTTGAACCCTTTTGTTAAAGATGTGACAGTGCAGTACCTTTCAATAAGTTTTCCTTAACAATATACTGACACATATATTATGTAAATCCTAATTTACAAACCACTGCATTATTGGCAGATGCAATTGAAAAATGAATGTCATAAGTTACAAAGCCAATGACGCAAGTAGCTACTTCCACTGGGTCTCTGAGAGACTGTTGAGGTGCACTGTTCAGCTTTGATCAATATTAGAACTAAGTGTTGAAAGAAACCGAACTCACAGTCTGACCAATCAATCAAGGTGTCGCACAGTTTCCAGCCACAATTCTCAGAACCAATGAAGCACATTTACTCACACCGCAGTCAATAAAAGCAAACTCATAATGAGGAGCGGACCCTTACCTCACTCCACATACAGAAATGAACTCAAACTAATCAGTGACCTAAATACAAGGGCTAAGCTATCAAATGAAACCATGGGGTCTATTTTCATGACCATGGATTTGGCAATGGATTCTTACATTTGGCATCAAAAGCACAAGCAGCAACAGAAAAAAAAAAAGAGAAACTGGACTTCATCAAAATGAAACACTTTTGTGTATCAAGGGACATTATCACCAGCCAACAGAACAGGAGGAAGGTTTGGAAATCATATATCTGATCAAGGTCTAGTGTCCAGAATACGTAACGAATGCTTCCTACTCAACAGCAAGGCAAACAACCCCATTGAAAATGCACAAAGGACTTGAGCAGGCATTTCTCCAAATAGATATTCAAGTGGCAAACAAGCGTATGAGAGATGTTCAACACGGCTGGTCAGGAAGGAAATGCAAATCAAAGCCACAACAATATGCCGCTTCACACTCTCAGGACGGCCACTGAGACAACAACAATGAAAAGTAACAAATGTTGGTGAGGCTGTGAGGAAACAGAACCCTTATAAGTTGCTGCAGGTACTGAAAAATGGTGCCTCAGCTACGGAAAGGCCTTTGATAGGCCTTCAACAGGTTAAATGCAGAAGTACAATACGACCCAGCATTATTCATAATCGCCAAAAGGTGGAAACAATGCCACGAAAAGGAACAAAGATACATGCCACTACTCGGATGAACTTCAAAAACATTGCGCTAAGTGAAAGAAGGCAGACACAACGGGTCACGGGTTGTACGATCCCTTTCATCGAAGTATCCAGAATGGACAAACCCATAGAGACAAACCACAGTGGCTGCTATGAACTGGGGGTCCGGGGGGACAGGAAGAGATTACTGAATGGACATGGGCTGTTTTTTCTCGGGTAATAAAATCGCTCTAAATCTAGTGGGAGTTGGGTGGTCCCTGCATTGTGAGTGCACAACATGCCACTGAACTGCACACCTTAAAACAGTTAACTGTATGCTCTGTGAACTTCACCGCAATTAAAAAGACAGATAATAATAATAATATAGTGCAAGTACAATGTTGTAAATGTTGAAAGATTTAAAAAAGATTTCAAATCTTAAATATTTCAGCTCCATCTCATCCTTCTCTGATTCCTTTTTTAATAAATGGTGTCCCAAAATTCACGCAAGAAGTAATTTTGATAGAAAACACAGGTTTATAATTAACACATTGTTTGCGGGTAGTTTTTATCGCGCGCTAACAGGTGGCGCGGGCCATTTTTGCAGTTGAATAGCTTGATTACCGTTATACCTGGAAGTATATACATAATTCACCATTGTATGTGTTAGAGACCCAAATTTTGTCCTTTGGAATTCGTATATCTGCATGTTAGCATCCCTTTAGAGCAATAAAAAAGTATAAAAATACACGTATTTATACGTTACCCACATTCTACCGCTAGTCTATAAAAAACGTATTAATACGTGTCCCGCACTCCACTACCAGTCAACGTAAAACGTATAAATACGTTTCCCGCATACAATGTGTTAAAAATTGTAAATTTTTTATTGATTCATAAAGTATACAGTATAGGGTTATGTATAGAATAGCATATCGGGTAAATGGCCTCCACGGCTTTGCTGGCACATATGCAAAGCTGTGGTCTTCATTGGTCTTCATGGTCCCTACTCCTGGGCCATAATTGGTCCTTGGTAATGCTTATCAGATTGAAGGGATTGAAATCAAAGGGCAACAGATATTAGAATCTGATTCAATAAACCAAGTAAAATTAGGCTTTTATTTTTTGTTGTTGTTGTTGTTAATGCTCACACAAAATTCAAATCTTGCGTGAATTTTGGGACAGCCTTTATCTGTTGTTTCGCACACGTGTAGGCGCTCCCGATGACTAGCAAATGAAGCGCATAGCTTCCCATTCCGGGCGGTGCGGCTCTGGGGCAGCCTAGGAACCCTGACCCCTGTGGGGGAACCAGGACAGGCGGCAGCGCCTGGGCGAGTGCCATCGCACTTTCGCTGCCCAGGCCTGCGGCCGGCCTTGTGCCTTCTGGTTGGACACAGCTCTCCTGCGCCGCAGTGTCTGTACTTTGTTGTGATCCAAACGTCACCGTGTCTTGCCCCCAGTGATCAAATAGGTATTTCCCTCTCCAACCCTCAGCTGGGGACCGGGTGCATCTGAGACAGGTTTCCACCAGCAGCTCTGCTGTTCCCAGCCGGCGTTCCACCCGGGGACGCGCGAGACTTACCCACACACGGCAGCGAGTAGCCCAGCTGCGGGTCGTGGACAAACTGCCGGTCGTTGAGCCTGGTCACGCAGTACAGGTGGAAGCAGTCCAAGCAGATCACGTGGCGGTGGTTGCACTGGAAAACCAGGACCGGGCTCCTGCAAGACAGAGGCGCTGCCTGTAGCTCCTGGAGGGCGGGGAGGCCCACGATGCAGGGTGGACCGCAACCCCACGGAGGGAGGCGGGAGGGCGAGGCCGCGCTCTGAGGGGCCGCCTGCTGGTGCTGAGCTCTGCACGCGCGCCCATCTTCCAGATGGGAAGCGCCCCCTTAACCACACGGAACGTTGATTTTCCTAATTTTATATGTTTCATGTTAACAGATTTACTAGTTGGCTGTTAATTTTAATTTGTGTATTTTAAAAATCAAATTGATTGGGGTGACATTGATCAACATGAACATATAGGCTTCAGGTGTGGGTTTCTATGTTACAAGATCTGTATGTTGCACCGTGTGCCCACCACCCAAAGTCAACTCTTCTCCTGTCACCATATATTAGGCCCCTCCCCGCGCCCCCTGCCTTCCCTCTGGCAACCGCCACACTGTTTGTGTCCACGGTTCCAGTCCGGTCAGCTGCTTCCACTCGAGCTCTGATACACCCTCCGTCCAACAGCCGTCCTTGTCTCCTCATTCGCAGCTAACCCACTAGCCACCCCTCACACACACGCATTTCTCTCGACCCATCCTCACCTCGCAGCATCGATACGTTTCTCCCAGAGATGTGACCCCTGGAAGGCAGACACGTCCCTGCTTTACACTGACATTCTCCCAGCACCAGGCCCTGGAAGGTTTTAAGTAAGTGTTCTGGAATTTAATTATAATAACATATAGAACCTGAACTTCCCCAAAGTCAAAAGAAAAATTACGCCTGCACCCGAGTGCTTAGGGGAGCAGGCGCTCATGTTTCACGGGAAGCAGAGAAGGCGAGTTTCGGAATGAAAAACGACTCCGCAGAGCTCTGCGGCTCTAAGGCTCTGTGTCGCCACCCCCATCCCACCCAAGTTCCCGTTTCTTAAATCAAGCTCGGGAGATGCTGTAAATTGATAAAGACAGAGCCTAAACATTGTGGATGCCTTTAAAACACTTTGTAGGGGGGAAAAAAATCTCCCGAATAACTATGCATTTTTGCTAGCAAATGAACCGTCCAATTTTATGACAAAAAGGAGACAGGCTGAATATATTAATGTGAGATCAGCCCCAAGGCAATTTTAATAGCAAAAAAGTCGCCGGAGCTTATTTAGATAAGCCCGCTCTCTATGTAATGATCATAAAATACAAAACAGTTTTCATTTCCCACCCAGTTCCTAACACGTGTGTTCTTCAGAAGCCCCCTCCACAGGAAGACTGAGATCAAACATTGATATTACAAGAAGGTAATTCCTTAATGATTGAAATATTTTCAACGTTCTGTTTTCTCAGTTATTTCAAAGCAATAGCTAATGCAGAACAAAATGGAAAAGAGAAGACCTTGCTATTTTAAGGTCGTGGGTCTTGAGGACAATGGTCGACTTGGTCCGAGCTGGCGTGCCCCTGGATAGTTTTGTGCGCTTCCACTTCCCACGCCTGAACCCACTCACGCCCATTCAGGGCCTTTTCCAATGAAACACGGACTGAGTTCTGAACTGCCAACCTTTCCCCTTGTCACCGTTTTCTCCTTGAAGATGATCAAATATAACACTTGCCCATTTCTAACGTGAGCATCCGCGCCCACACAGGCTCTGTGACCCCGCAGAGCGGTGGCGTTTTACCCTCTCCTCTCCCAGCCGGATTCTGTGAAAAACACTGTCCATTCTGACCAGGCCACATGGTCAATGAAGCCTGCATAGACCACAGGGAAACGGGAGGACATATGAGCACAGTCATAAACGTCCCTGTAGGGAACCAGGCTAAACAGAGAGCTTAGCAGCTGCCCTGGAGAAGAGACACACTGAGAGCCAAGCCCTGAGCACGTGAGCCGCGCCCGGCGCGTGGCGTGGGGTCCCGGAGCCCTGAAGGCCCCCAGCACGGGAGGGGTGGCGTTTAGGGAGTGCGACCCCGAGGGAAGGCAGAGGGGAGAGCTGGGAGTCCTGATCTGCCTGCAGGTCCGTGACAGGATGCGAGCTCCCCGGGTGCCCGTGGCCTCGGGTGGGAATGACACAACGGACAGCAGTGACATCTCTGAGGAGAGCGTGCGGACGGGACGTATCTTCTCGGGGGTCACTGTCCTCCCGACAGCCCAGGGTGCCCTTTGCTGAAATTACATATGAATGTTCACTGATGGAGCTGGAGGTGACTGTCCCCGAGAGCCGGCGCAGAGCAGCGACTCAAAGGCTACGAACGGCCTCCGTCACGCGGGAAAGGAGTCACGGACGCCGCGGGGACAGTGCTGAGCGACTGGTCAGCAGGGACTTCTGCTTTCATGAAGGGAGCGGCCAGACCCTTTTGTCCATGGCAGGTGGGCAGGGTTGAAGGAATGTGGGCAAAAAACAGGGCACTCAGCCCCATGCACCACCCCAGGGAGAACGCTGAGCCACCGTAAGTCAGTCCCTCGTGTCTAGAAAACAGCGGCATGCTGGCCAGGCTTACTCTCCCTCTCCCTCACCCGTTGTCTCTCTCCAGCCACCTGCCGAACTCTGTCTGTCTGTCTCTCTGTCTGTCCACTTCCCCTGCACAGGTCGCTGAGAGAGGCTGGGCCCCAACTTTCCCACTGAACGCGGCACACAGCGAACACAACGTCCCACACGGTCTGGGATGTGCGAGGACAAGGGAGCACGTCTACGCTCAAGGGAAACAGAAACCTAATGACGTGGGCGGGAGAGGGACACGGACGGTGGGGCACAGGGGGGATGTGTTCAGGGGGTTAGTGGGCGGGAGAGGGACACGGACGGTGGGCCACAGGGGGCATGTGTTCAGGAGGTTAGTGGGCGGGAGAGGGACACGGACGGTGGGGTACAGGGGGCATGTGTTCAAGGGGTTAGTGGGCGGGAGAGGGACACGGACGGTGGGGCACAGGGGGCATGTGTTCAGGGGGTTAGTGGGCGGGAGAGGGACACGGACGGTGGGGTACAGGGGGCATGTGTTCAGGGGGTTAGTGGGAGGGAGAGGGACACGGACGGTGGGGTACAGGGGGATGAGTTCAGGGGGTTAGTGGGCGGGAGAGGAACACGGACGGTGGGGGACAAGGGGGATGTGTTCAGGGGATTAGTGGGCGGGAGAGGGACACGGACGGTGGGGTACAGGGGGATGTGTTCAGGGGGTTAGTGGGCGGGAGAGGAACACGGACAGTGGGGCACAGGGGGGATGTGTTCAGGGGGTTAGTGGGCGGGAGAGGGACACGGACGGTGGGGCACAGGGGGGATGTGTTCAGGAGGTTAGTGGGCGGGAGAGGGACACGGACGGTGGGGTACAGGGGGGATGTGTTCAGGAGGTTAGTGGGCGGGAGAGGGACACGGACGGTGGGTACAGGGGGGATGAGTTCAGGGGGTTAGTGGGCGGGAGAGGGACACGGACGGTGGGCCACAGGGGGCATGTGTTCAGGAGGTTAGTGGGCGGGAGAGGGACACGGACGGTGGGGTACAGGGGGATGTGTTCAGGGGGTTAGTGGGCGGGAGAGGAACACGGACAGTGGGGCACAGGGGGGATGTGTTCAGGGGGTTAGTGGGCGGGAGAGGGACACGGACGGTGGGGCACAGGGGGGATGTGTTCAGGAGGTTAGTGGGCGGGAGAGGGACACGGACGGTGGGGTACAGGGGGGATGTGTTCAGGAGGTTAGTGGGCGGGAGAGGGACACGGACGGTGGGTACAGGGGGGATGAGTTCAGGGGGTTAGTGGGCGGGAGAGGGACACGGACGGTGGGCCACAGGGGGCATGTGTTCAGGAGGTTAGTGGGCGGGAGAGGGACACGGACGGTGGGGTACAGGGGGCATGTGTTCAAGGGGTTAGTGGGCGGGAGAGGGACACGGACGGTGGGGTACAGGGGGGATGTGTTCAGGAGGTTAGTGGGCGGGAGAGGGACACGGACGGTGGGTACAGGGGGGATGAGTTCAGGGGGTTAGTGGGCGGGAGAGGGACACGGACGGTGGGTACAGGGGGGATGAGTTCAGGGGGTTAGTGGGCGGGAGAGGGACACGGACGGTGGGGTACAGGGGGCATGTGTTCAAGGGGTTAGTGGGCGGGAGAGGGACATGGACGGTGGGGTACAGGGGGCATGTGTTCAGGGGGTTAGTGGGCGGGAGAGGGACACGGACGGTGGGGTACAGGGGGGATGTGTTCAGGAGGTTAGTGGGCGGGAGAGGGACACGGACGGTGGGTACAGGGGGGATGAGTTCAGGGGGTTAGTGGGCGGGAGAGGGACACGGACGGTGGGTACAGGGGGGATGAGTTCAGGGGGTTAGTGGGCGGGAGAGGGACACGGACGGTGGGGTACAGGGGGCATGTGTTCAGGAAGTTAGAGGACAGGAGAGGGACGAAGGATGGGGTACAGGGAGGATGTTTTCGGTGGGTGAGGAGGTGGGAAGACAGTGGCTCAGGCAGCAGCCTCGGCGTGTTCCCCAGGGGCCCGCCTCCTGGTGTTCACGCGGTTCCCTTCCACGCACCGGTGGCCTGACCCGTGTCGCAGGGGAAACGCAGACACGGGACCGTGGTTTCCAGAACTGGGTGGGCACACCACGGCCGCTTCTGCCTACGTGTCCTGTGGGGCCACCTGCTCTCAGGACAGTGAGCGCCCCGGCCAAGGCCTCAGGCAGCCGGGGGAGGCCCGTGGCGGGAGCTGAGCCCTGGCCACGGCCAGCGCTGAGGCAGCCACCTGAGCCCCCGCCCGAGGCCAGCCCTGGGGCCCGCGCCTGGCGGCTCCACGCTCCAGGCCCCCGAGTCTGCGCACGATCGCACCCAATCGCACTCACTGCTGCCCGGCGCCCCGCGCGCGGGAGAAGCCTCTGCAGCCGTGTGACCGTGCGGGCCCAGGGGACGCGGCCACACTCAGACAGCGGTCAGAGGAGACCTGAGAGCAGTGGCGTCTGAAGGAGTCAGGGTTCCAGGGAATGGGGAGGAGAGAGCACCCCCGGGTGAGAGAAGAGACGGGGCTGTGCGAGCACCAGCCTGGGAGGGGACAGCCGGGGACCT